TTACTGATAGTGACTTAGTGCATGAATCACAACAAGTGTTTTATTTACACAGCCATGGAAGCTCATGATTTACCATATACCATTCAGTAAAGCAGTCCATAGTACACAATAAACAAGATGAGAGAATGGAGTAGGAGAAATATAAAGAAAATGATCTAGTTAAGCAAATACAAAGTTAAAGCACCTACTACAAGTTATGCATTTCTTTATAATTAACTTCAAGGAATTATTATTATAGATCATAAATTGAGAATTAGTAAAGATGACATGAACACCATCAGTTATCACAACTAAACATCAGATTTCCATATTTGGAGAACAAGTAGTCAATATAAGTTATCACTCGCAGCCTGCAAGTATACACTAGTCAGTCAGTACAGACAGTAGCTATGTCTCTCCTGTTAGTGGTTATTCTCTTATTCTTCAGTAGCTCCTGCAGTGTCTCCTCTGGTCAGTATTATGTGTCTGATGACTGCAGTTCAGTTACTCAGTCACCTTGTGATCCTTTATCAGTGTATGCTGGGAATATGTCTCAATACAATAACACCATCTTCTACTTCATTGGAACTAGTGTCATTAACTTTACTGTCACAATGGACTCAGTACAGAATATAACTCTACATGGACTGGACCAGTCTCCTACTATTCACTGCTCACATAAATGTAGGTTTATAAGAATCAATACCAGCAATCATGTCAGTTTCAGTGACCTATCATTCAAGCATTGCAACATGCATTTTAAATATTCAAGTAATATTACGATTAGCGGTTCTATTTTTAAAAATGTAAAACGTTTGAAACTGATCAATGTTTTCGATAGTAAGATAACATCTTTGGTTATTGATATTTCTGATAATCTTGTTATTGCATATTTTTCACCCCAAGTGTGTTACAATGAATTGCACCATTACTCATTAAAGCTGGAAAATGTTACTGTGACCAGATCTGCTGTCAATGTCCAATCAGTATTAAAACTACAAATGACTCATGGCACCTCTTATAATCTATCAGTTATCTTTGATAATGTCGATATGATCAGACATAGCATTCGTCATTTTTTCAGTGAATCTCTTTTTTCTCTGTATATTACCAATTCATCAGTATCTAAGTCAGGGGCAGGATTTTCTTCAATTTTTAGAAGGCATATGTATTTTAAATTAAAACGCAATACACATAATATTAAAGGCATTCAACCACAGTCTAGCATTGCATTTGAAAACTGCAAGTTTTACAACAATAATTATGGATTAAAACTTGTTGGTGAATATTTTAAATTCAATATTCCTAGATCTATTACTATTACATGCAAGTCTTGTTCAATGCGTCACAATTTTTTTTATGGTTTATGGATCAATGGAAACTTAGTAACATCAACTCACATCAACATTATAGACACTGAACTAGTTGGAAACGGAAAAAATTTAATAACAGCATGTCTTTCAATCCTTCTAAATAACATTGTTGTTACAAAAAGTTCATCAACAGGATTGGTAATTATAGCCTCTGTAGTAACTGTAGAAAATAGATTAGTATTTAAGTATAATACTGGAGTAGTTGGAGGAGGAATGGCAATAAATAGTTCATCTGTTGTGGCCCTATCACCATCAGCTAACTTGGAGTTTATTGATAATCATGCAACTTATAAAGGAGGAGGTATTTACATTAACTGGATAGCTGAATTTCAATTTAAACAAAGTTCCAATCCCATTCCTCTTACATTAAAGGATAATACTGCTGGAGTAGCTGGAAATGATATATATGGACAAATCTCTGGTTTCAATGAATTATTCAATTCAACAAAAAATGCTTCAACATCAAGTGATGCAAATGTTTTTGCTTTTTGTGATCCAAACAGCAAAAAAATTACACCAAAGCATAACCATAAGATACAATATGTT